TAAATAAATAATTGTCCATCAATAACTAATAAAAATATTTTTTAAAAGTGGGGGGTGCTGGGGATGTGGCTCAATGGCTGAACACCCCTGGGTTCAATCCCTGGTATCCAAAAAAAAAAAAAAAAAAATGGAGGGCTGAGGTTGTAGCTACATGGTGAAGTGCTTGCCCTAGCATATGCAAGGCCATGGGTTCGATCCTCAGCACCACATAAAAATAAATACAATAAAGGTATTGTGTCCATATACAACTAAAAAATATTTAAAATAAAAGAATTTCTTTAAAAAAAAAGGCAGGTGTGCTGGGGAGGTAGCCCTTGAGTAGAATGCCCCTGGGTTTAATCCTGAATGCTGCAAAAAACAAGAAAACAATTCTTAGCATCAAAATCAATAAAATACTTATAGATCAAAAAATTAAAAAAGAATTTTTTTTTTTTTGGTACCAGGGATTGAACCCCAGGTCACTTAACCACTGAGCCACACAATAAAATATTTTGTATTTTATTTAGAGACAGAGTCTCACTGAGTTGCTTAGTTTCTTGCTTTTGCTGAGGCTGGCTTTGAACTCACGATCCTGCCTCAGCCTCTCGAGCTGCTGGGATACATGTGTGCATCACCACACCTGGCATCCAGCTCTTTTTTTTTTTTTTTTTTTTTTTGAGACAAGTTTCACTAAGTTGCTTAGGTCCTAAATTGTTGAGGCTGGCTTTGAATTTATGATCTTCCTGCCTCAGCATCCTGAGCTGCTGGGATTACAGGCCTGCTCTACCACACCCACTTTATGAATAAATTTAACAAAATAAGTGCAAAATTTACATTCTGAAAACTACTCAACATCAGAAGAAATTAAAGAGAGACTGTAGTCAAAACAATCTTGAAAAAGAAGACACTGGAATGACACTGAGTTCAAAATTTACTACAATGATTACTAAACTACAGAAATCAAGACCATGTGGCACTGGCATAAGGCTAAAAATATAGATCAGTGGAACAGAATGGAAACTCCAGAAATAAAGCCTCATCTCTGCTCAATTTTCAGCAAATCTGCCAAGACAATTCAGTTGGGGAAAGAATAGTCTTTTCAACAAATGGTACAGGGACAACTGTTTTTGTTGGCTTGTTTGTGGTGCTGAGAACCAAACCCAGAGCATGCCAGGCAAGGGCTCTACCACTCAGCCATGGGACAATTATATCCACAAATAATAAATACACAACCTTGTAAATATACTAAGACTCACTAAATTGTATATACTAAGAGGGCAGATTTTTATTGCATGTGAATTATATGTTTAAAAAGTTATTTTAAAAATACTTAGTGGTTTGCTTTATAATCTTTTATTCAAATGTCTCATTCACAGGTGAAATTCATTTAATTTTCCAATTCAGCAAGCAGATGTATATGATTTTTACATGGTTTCTAGCTTAGTATCCCCAAAGATTGTGATGGGACCAAGTAGTAATTGAAAGATAAATTGTCCATTTTTCAACAAATAAAAAAAATACTTAGTGGTTTAATCAAGAATAAGTTAGTTTTTCAACAGACTGTAATTTGGGCAATTTGGGCTTAGCCATCTCTGTTAAGCCTCTAAGACTTCTCCTGGGATCAGAGCTGGGAGTCACTGGTGTAGGTGTGTTCCACCAGTTCAGCTGGGGCTGAAACTTCACATATCACCTATCTTATGTAACTGCCACTTAGCTGGCAGCCTCCCTCTCTTGTCACTCAGAAGTTTAGGTTAACCTACTTGACATCACTGAATCCCAAGAGAGCAGAAGCTATAAACTTGTTAACCCTGGCTTGAAACTGCTGTATTTCACTTCTGTTACATTCTGAACAGAAAGCAAATCATGGACAGCCAGGTTCAAGAGAGATTGCAGGGTTCACCTCTAGGAGGCAGCATACACCCCCATGAGTGGGAGGAACTGTGGAGGTTGTCCCAGGAAAATGCCTGCCACAGCAGCCATTTAAAGCTGAAATATAGGACTTTTGTTTCCTGCAATAAGGAGAACTGGGTAATGTGGAAAACCCTCATCTTACAAAACACCTAGAAATTCTTCATAAAGCAAATAACTATTTTCATAGATATGTGCACATGAATATAAGAACTGTTTCTAGATACAAAAATGAATCTGAGATGGGTGCAGTGGTGCACAACTGCAATCCCAGTGGCTTGGGAGGCTGAGGCAGGAGGATCGCATGCTCAAAACTAGCCTCAGCAAAAGGGAGACTCTGAGTAACTCTGTGAGACCCTGTCTCTAAATAAAATGCAAAATAGGCTTGAAGATTCGGCTCAATGGTTGAGTGCCCCTGAGTTCAATCCCTGGTACCAAATAAAATGTACCAGGCATTGAACCTAGCAGCTCTTTCTTTATTTTAAGACAGGGTCTCCCCAAATTGCTTAGGGCCTCGCTAAGTTGCTAAGGCTGGCCTTGAACTTATGATCCTTTTACCTTAGCCTCCCAAGTTGCTGGAATTACAGATGTGCACCACCGCCCCTGACTTGGAGTTTTCAGTGCATGGTTGGTAGGCCCTGTTGCCTCTGGCCCTGTGGCAAGAAGGACATCTCATAGCAGATGTTTGTGGTTTGCTTATGTGTTTATTGTTTCTTTCTCTTGTTAGAATATAAACTCCAGGAGGGCTGGATGTCGCTTCACCTTTGTATTTCTTTCTTTCTTTTGGTACCAGGGATTGAACTCAGGGGCACTCAACCACTGAGCCACATCCCCAGCCCTATTTTGTATTTTATTTAGAGACTGAGTGTTACTGAGTTGCTGAGGGCCTCACCTTTGCTAAGGTTGCTTTGAACTAGTGATCCTCCTGCCTCAGCCTCCCGAGCCACTGGGATTTCCGGCGCGCACCACCCCGCCCGGCTTCGCCTTTGTATTTCTAACGCTTGGTACTTTGAGGTAGGAAGGAGGGAGGGAGGAAGGGAGAAAGGCAGACAGGGTAGGAGAGAGGAAAGGGGGAAGGGAGGAAAGCTCCTCCCGGGTTCGCAACCCTGAACAGCCCTGGTCCCGGTTCTCCCTCACTTGAGCTTATTAAGATTGCGCGTGGGGCGGGGCGGGCGGGGCCAGGAAGGCAGGGCTGGGACCGAGAAGGCGGGGCCCTCGCGGCGCCGTCGTCATGGAAACGCGCTCGCGCACCGCGCGGAACTACAGTTCCCAGCAAGCCCCACGTTTCCGGTTGGCAAGATGGTGGCGCGTAGGAGAAAGCGTGCGGCTAGGGACCCTGAGGCGGGCGTTCCAAGCCCACCCGGCTACTACGGTGAGCGGCTCGGGGACGCGAGGTTGGGAGACGGAGAGGCTTTGCTGGGAGGTGTCCCGGGAGCCCCGGGAGCGGCCGCGTGGTTGGGCCACGGCAAGTCGAGAAGCCCCTGGCTCCGCGGACCCACGCGGCGCCCTTCTCCCGGGTCAGCCCATCTTGGTGAGAGCCTTCCCCACAGAGCCGTCTCTGAAGGCCTGTGCGAGGAAACTGCCTGCCTCCTTTCGCCCTGAGTGCTTCCTTCTTAGCCGATACAAGATTGCTGTCTGCTTTCTTGCTCCCCAGCCTCCTGCCCCGAGGCCGCGTGCGTCCCCAAAGAGAGCGGCCCCCTAGGTTCGTGAAGGTGGCCCTTAGGGAGTCGCGCCGATAGAGGCCCTCGGACTAGATCCACAGCAGGTGGACCTCAGACCTGGAGGCCGGGCGAGGGTGCGGCTCCCTTGAGAAAGGAAGTTTGAGCCAGAACCTGAAGAATGGGTGCAGGGACGAGGTTTGGTGCGCAGGCGGAGAGAGCAAGTGTGAGGCCCGGCTTGTTGGGGAACCGGGAGTCCGGGGTGGGGGAGGGTAGTGTGAAAAGTGACACCGTGGCAGGCCGGTCACACAGCTTCCAGACAGCTTCCAGAAGGATTGGGTGTGGACCCCAACAGCAGCAGAGTTGGAGCCCCCCTCTCATGCGCCCCCGTGTAATTGCCAGATGAGTTCTCTCCCCCACCCGCTTGGGAGTCCCCCTTCTGCGGATGTGCGTGCTCACGCCCAGAGGTGGTGGGGCTCTGCCCAGAGGTTGGGCTCACTGAAGGAAGAATGCGCGGTGGACAGACGGCCTAGGAAGGGTCGTGGAGAAAGGGAATTGGGTGGATTAGGTGCTCACCTGCACTCACGGCAGCCTGACCCTGACTCCCATGCCACCATTTCCCTTCCAGCCATTCCGATCAAGTTCTCAGCAAAGCAGCGAGCTTCTCATTACCTTTATGTGAGAGAACACAGAGTTCGAGAAGGCACCCAATCTACATGGCCTCAGAAGCGCACCCTTTTTGTCATCAATGTGCCGCCATACTGCAACGAGGTGAACTGGCAGGGGACCTGTGAGCTCTGGAATGGGGGCCCCAGGGTAGAAATGTTCAGAAAGTGGAGGGGTGTCAAATGTTGAGAAGGCTGCCTTTACCTCTTGTGGCAAGAAATTGGCTTTTTCTTTTTCTTTCTTTTTTTTTTTGGTACTGAGGATTGAACCCAAGGACACTCAACCCCTGAGTCACATTCCCAGCTCTTTTTTTATTTTTTTTTAATTTAGAGAAAGGGATTCAATCATCCTGTCTTTGCCTCCCCAGTTGCTGGGATTACAGCATGCACCACCGAGCCCAGCCAGGAAATCGGGTTTTGGCGAGTGTTTTTGTAGAGACAGGGTCTCACTGAGTTGCTTAGTGCCTTGCTTTTGCTGAGGCTGGCTTTGAACTTTCAATTTTCCCATCTCAGTCTGTGGAGACGCTGGGATTCCAGGCGTGTGCCACCTCACCTGGCTTCAGGAAATTGGCTTTTTAAAAATTATTATTATTTTTTAGTTGTTCACAATACCTTTGTATTATTTATTTTTATGTGGTGCTGAGGATCAAACCCAGGGCCTCACAGGTTCTAGGTGAGAGCTCTACCGCTGAGCTACAACCCCAGCCAAGGAAATTGGCTTTTTAAAGTATTTGTTTGTTTTGTTTTTGGTGGTACTGGAAATGAGCCTGGGACCTTACACATGCTCCCTAATCACTCTGTCCCTGAGCTACACCCCCAGCCCTTTTAATTTTTAATTTTCTTTTCCTTTTTTTTTGAGACAGGGTCTCAGTAAATTGCTGAGGCTGGCCTTAAATTTATGATCCTCCTGCCTCAACCTCCCAAGTAGCTGGGATTAAAGGTGTATGCCACCATGCTCAGCTTTAATTATATTTTAAAAATATAATTTGAGGGCTGGGGTTGTGGCTCAGCAGTAGCATGTGTAAAACCCTGGGTTGGATCCTCAGCACCACATAAAAAGAAATAAAACAAAGGTATTGTGTACAACTAAAAAATAAAATTAAAAAAAATTATTTGAGGGATATGTTACCCAGAATTGTTTGAATTACATTGTTCTTTCTTTCTTTTTTTTTTTTTTTTTTTAATATTTTTTAATCGTTGGTGGACCTTTATTTTATTTATTTGTATGTGGTGCTGGGAATCGAACCCATGCCTCACATACGCTAAGCAAGCACTCTTCCACTGAGCTACAACCCCAGTCCACATTGTTCTTTCTTGAATGTAAAAATGATACCTATCTGGACTGGGGTTATAGCTCAGCGGTAGAGCACTTGCCTAGCACATGCAAGGCACTGGGTTTGATCCTCAGCACCATGTAAAAATAAACAAATAAAATAAAGGTGTGCTCAACTATAACTAAAAAAATGTTTTTAAAAAAAATGGGGCTGAGTGCTTCACCTATCCATGGGAGGTGAAGAAAAATGTAAGAAAATAAAAATTACCTCTAATTCTGTCTAGAAACACCTTAATTTTTTCCACAGAGAGTATTAAATTTAGTATTACATACATTTATAGAAGTAAAACAGGGAGTTGCTGGATTTTGAATGAAATTTTTTTTCAGAAAAAAATTAAATTTTTTTTTTTTGGTGGTGTGTGTGTGTGTGTCTGTCTGTCTGTCTGTCTTGCTGGGGATTGAACCCAGGGCCTTGTGCTGCATGTGAGGCAAGCACTCTACCAACTGAGCTGTATCCTCAGCCCAAGAAAATAAATACAGATTTCTAAAAGATTCCTCTTAAGGTCAAGGGAGAAAGAAGCATTAAGAAGAAAGTTAACCTAGCTAAGCGTGGTGGCATATTCCTATAATCCTAGCAACTTGGGAGGCTGAAGCAGGAGATCACAAATTCAAGGCCAGCCTCAGCTACTTAATGAGAGATAACCTTTACTAAAGTGTAGCAAATGTTGAGAGAAGGGCGCAGGCTATAGGTGTGTAGCTTGATGCATTTCACAAATTGAACATGGCCATGTACATAATCAGTGTGTGAATTGATAAACATCATCACACCCCAGATGTTCCCTCATGCCCTTTTTACTGTGGATCATCACCATCTTGATTCTGAAAGTATAGATTAGACTCCTTCTTTTCTTTGGTGGTGCTTAGGGATTGAACCCAGAGCCTTGTGCATGCTAGGCAAGCCCTCTACCAACTGAGCTGTATTCATAGACCCTAAATTTGACTCTTTATTTAACTTAATTGTCTTAGAAGAATAATATCAGGAGTGTCCCCACCTCTTTTATTATGGAGGTTGGGAATATCTACATCCCAGTTGTCTATGTGGGAACTGTTCAGAGGACATGGCACCCTGGCTTTCTCGGTTGGGTAGACTTGGGCTATTGGTCCTTTGGGATCCCTTTTTAAAGGATGTGACTGTGCCACCCAGGTGTAGGGAGGCTCTGGGGAAAGCCCTGTGAATGTTCATCCTGTGCTTCCCTCTGGCCGTGGCAGGAATGCCTGACTCGTCTGCTGTCCCCTTGTGGCACTGTCCAGTCTGTGGAGTTGCAGGAGAAGCCGGACCTTGCTGAGAGTGCAAAGGAACCCAAGTCGAAGTTTTTTCACCCTATGCCCATTCCGGTAGGCCTTCAAGTTCCAGGTTCCACTGGAATGGCAGCACAAGGCGGGGCGGGGGCAATTAGTGTCCCTTGTGTAGGGGATGGTGGTGTGTATGTAGGTGCGGAGGTTGGCAGTGGGACTCTGAGAGCATGTCCTATAGTAGACATTCCCAACCTCCATAGTTCCAGTTGGTCTAGGAGCCAGCTGTGCAACATCTTTGGACTTCCTGCCTGGTGGTTTCTATTCTCCATGTTAGAGCTTGGGGACCATCTCTGCACTCTCCTGCAGGCCCCCTGGGCTCCCTGCTTGCTTCTCCCTGAGGTAGAGTCCTCCTCAGGCCAGGGCTTGGTCTCCAGGAGCACTATGCCTTCCATGTTTTCCCAAGTGCCTGGACCTGACGCCTTCTCCCAGCACAGGGGAGTCTGACCGGTTGAGTGCCCTGTCCTTTCCTCTCTGGGCCTGGCTTCCACGAGCCTGCCCTAAGGTTGAACCCACTTTTCACTGACTCCTTTCTGAAACTGGAAGAAATGTCCCCTGTGTATCCCCTGTCCTTGGGGGAAGAGCTGGGAATGAGTCTCCCTTTCAGCAGCAGTTGGGTAACTGAGAGTGTGACTGTCCCCCACCTAAACTCTTCCGTGGCCCAGCAGCAGGTTAGGTGAGGGCAGGTGTGGGAACTTGCGCTGGTGTGGGTAGGGCTCCCCCACTCGGACCTCTCTCTTCCCCCAGGGATTCCAGGTAGCCTACGTGGTGTTCCAGAAGCCAAGTGGAGTGTCGGCCGCCTTGACCCTGAAGGGCCCTTTGCTGGTCTCTACGGAGAGTCACCCTGTGAAGAGTGGCATTCATAGTCAGTACCATAGCACCTCCTTTCTGGGCCCAGGGTTGGTGAGGGAAGCTTTCTGGGAGCAGCCTCTGGGTGCCACGAGCCACAGCCAGCACCCTGATGGCAGTGCGAGGGAGACACAGGCAGACAGGGCTAGTTGGGGTGCGTCAGGAGATGCTAGCCTGGAACTTCAGCACCAGGTGGACAAAGGTGGAGACCCAGCCTGTTGCCACTAGAATCTTAGCACTTGCCCGCTGGGCCACAGGTCTCAAGGCCTTGCAGCCTGTGTCAGAAAGTCCTGACACCTGGCAGGCCTGAGGCAGCTGCTCTCCTTGTCTCCCCATCCCCCAGAGTGGATCAGTGACTATGCAGATTCAGTGACTGACCCTGAGGCCCTGAGAGTTGAGGTGGACACATTCATGGAGGCCTATGATCAGAAGATTGCTGCGGTAAAGGGACACTGCCTCCCTGCGGGAGGGTGGGGCTGCAAGTATGTGATGTGACTCCCAAGGGGGACAGCCTGTCCTTGGTCACCATGTGAGTCCAGGCTTTCTCTACTGAATCTTTGGCTACCTGGCTGGGTGACGTTGAATATAGATGGTCTGTAGGGGGGTGGGGGAGGAGCAGCATTGGCACCTCGGTGCCCTATCCCCATACTCAGCCCGTGCCCTGCACCATGGGGCTAAGTGCTAGCAGGCACCTGCCAGGGCAGGTCTGACTGCTGGAGGAGGATGGGAGGTTCCGCCCCTCGAGGCTTTGGAGGGGTCAGGAGCACTGTCCTGCCATTGGTCAGCAGGGTGCCATTCCTTGCAGGAGGAGGAGAAGGCCAAGGAGGAGGAGGGAGTCCCTGATGAGGAGGGCTGGGTGAAGGTGACCCGCCGGGGTCGACGGCCTGTGCTTCCACGAACTGAGGCAGCCAGCCTGCGGGTGCTGGAGAAGGAGAAACGGAAGCGTGCGCGCAAGGAGCTGCTCAACTTCTATGCCTGGCAGCATCGGGAGACCAAGATGGAGCGTAAGGGCCTCCTCCAAGGCAGGGGATGGCCTTGGGGGGTTGGGATGGGAGTGCATCCTTGGACACGCGCTCTGGGCTTAGAGTTCCAGCCTGGCAGCACTCTCCTGCTTCCCGGGGGCAGCTGCATTTGCCCAGGAGTGGTGGGTGGGATTATTCATACCCACAGAGGCATCTGGGATGGGGACCCACCTCCAAGCCCCTGAGCCCTTACTGCTGGAACCTGTTAGCCTCCAGCCAGCAAGAAGTCTGTGGAGGTGATCTCCAGAGTCACTGAGCTGTAGAGAAGGCCCGGGGGGCCCTGGGGCTCTCTGCGGTTCACCATGTCTTCGCCTGTGGTTTGCTTTTGGTGCTGCTGCTAAGCTCCCTCCTCCACTGTCTTGGTCTCTTGCTGTCTCAGCTGTCCTGTAGGACAGCTGTCTGTGGTTCGAGGAAAGGGTCCTGGCCTGAGCCTGGAGGGTGGGCTCTGTAGCTGTCTTGACCCCCAGCCCTGTTGCTGGCGCACTCAGACTCACTGCTGCACTGACCCTTCTCTAGTACTTGTCCTTTTCTTCTCTCCAGATCCTGAACTTTACTTCGTGGCCTCTATCAGCCTTCTCTCCTTTAGATTTCAGATCCCCACCTACCCTTTGACCTAGATCATTCTTTGACTAATCACCATCTGAATTTGGTGGCACTAGGGCTGGAGAGGGAGGCACCTGGACTCCTTCACCTGGGGGTGGAGTAGGCATGTGGATCTTTTTGTTTTCTTTGGGTTTCTCATTGGTGCATTTCTAACCTCAAAACTCTGGCATGTCACCTCCTGCCTCAGCCTTGCCTCTGACCTGGTCTGCAGTCAAGTACTGTGTTCTGATTCCTTGCAGAATCCAGACCATGACCCAAAGCGGGCAGGGTGGGGAGGCCTGGTGGAACTCCCCGACCCTGGGAAGTGAGGGGTATGCCAGCGCTCTCAGTGGGGGCAGTGGGCGTCTCCCACAGGATGCTGCCTGACCCTGTTCTGTGACCTCTCACACCACAGACCTTGCACAGCTGCGCAAGAAGTTCGAGGAGGACAAGCAGAGGATTGAGCTGATGCGGGCCCAGCGCAAATTCCGACCCTACTGAGCCTGCCAGGCTGTGACCCTGCCTGCAGTGACATTGGAGTGCAGGGCCTGGCCAGTGAGGACATGGGGCCTGCTGGCCTGAGATTGTGCTCTGCAAAGCAAGACAGTAGGCCAAAGGGCCACTGTGTCCTGCGGCCCAGCCCCATCAGGTCTGCATGGGCTGGAAGTGAAGGACAGGCTCACCCCGGGTCCCTGTGCTGAAGCATGTTGGAGCACAGCAGGAGGATGTGGCCCTCAGAAGTGGTTCCTACCTGTCAGGAAAACAAGTAACTGCTTGCGTCTCCCCTTCTCCTCAACGGAACCCCCTGCCGGCCATGGAACAGCCTTGAAGGCAGCGAGAAGGCGAGAACATTTTATTTTGCATCCAGGCTGGCAGTGGAGAAGGCTTCAGAAGCCACCAAATGACAGGCAAGCTTCCTTCTGCCTATACCAGCTCACTACAGGTCATTAACTACAAAACAGACACCCTAAGTCTAAATGCTGTCCCCTTGAAGTCACAGACGTTAATGTCAGAATCTTGGCCCTTCCCCCACCTCCATCACAGGATTCTGTCCTGTTCATCTTGGTTTTCAGTAAGGCCTGTTGCCGCCATGCCAGCCACGTGGAGGCTGAGCAGCGTGAGCGTGAGATGTCTGTAGCCCAGGTCCAGGCTACAGCTGAGCTGGGATCCTGCGTTTGCTCTGTAAAAAGGAGCTGACGACATTGGCCACGTGGTGGGGAGCATTCATGTGGACATAATGGTTGCCAGGGATTTGTACAAACTGGAACCGCTGGAGGAAGGGAGGGTGGTGAGGTGTGGCCAAAGGAAGTGGCAGTGCCCACCTGTGGCCATTGAGCCCAGGAACTCAATTGTGCCCTCCCTTGGCCTGCTCCTTCCCAGTGGGCCAGGCACTCCCTGGGGATCCCAGTGTTCCCAGCACGCTGGGGCTCCTCAGACCCTAGGGACTCAGGACTTGGGTTGAGGACCATCTGAGTTGTGAAGCTGTAGCACTGAGTGGGGGAGGCCTCTGTCGGGGTTGCCGGTGATCCTGACAGATGAGGGCCCCTGGAGAAGTGAGGTCACAGCACCAGCAAGTCCCTGAGGGAACACCAACCAGGGAGGCCTGGCCACAGCTCTCACCTGCCAGCCATGGGAGGGCTGCCCTTTTGTGAGGGGGTACAGGTGCCCCAGACTCGGGTATTTGTGTGGATAATGATCACAAAGTGCTGGTGCTCCCAGGGGTCCAGGTCATGGCACAAGCCCCACCCCCAGCTAGCACACCCACTAGTAGGACTAGTGGAGGCGATGGGGCTGTGGCAGATGGGCCGAGTTGTGCCTGACCCAGGGGACACATGTGAGAACAATAAAATATTGTTCTAATGAAAGGCCTCTTTCCTGAACTCGGACTGACCACAGTGGGGATTGAGGCCATAGTTCCTCAGGACACTTGGACCTGGGGCCTGGGCAGGTGAGCATGACCTGGACACCAGCTCCCCGAGCCTGCACATGTTGCCTTTTTTTTTTTTTTTTTTTTTTTTTAATGGTTAAAGCATTTGAACCAGGGATGCGCTGCCTCCCACAGTGCTCTCTGCCCTCTTGGCTCCAGGCTTCAGAGCTACATCCCCGGTCATTTTTTGAGACAGTCTTGCTAAGTTGCTCAGGCCAGCTTTGAACTTGTGATTTGCTTCAGCCTCACAAGCTGCGGGGATTTGTGGTATGCACCACAGTGCCCAGCTGTTACCTCTTTTAGGATGGATCTCATCATGTCCAGCATAAACATCAGCGGCTCCCTGTTGGCATCATTCTCCCGTCTCACATCACTGTATCCTTGTGCTGCTCTGGAAGTAAGAAGAAATGGGTTCCCCCTTGGACCCTGCCTCCCAGCAGTGCCTTAGAAGACGCCACGTCTGGGCTACCTGCTACCTCTGACTTTCCCAAAGCTTGGATTTACTGAGCATAGTCATTCAGTATGAGCCACAGGCCAGACTGACTGGGGTCACAGCCACTGAATGCTGGGGCTGGATATTGAGCTTAAGTGCTTTACTACTAGGCTACATCTGCACCCCTTTTTATTTTTTATTTTCAGACAGGGTCTTGCTAAGTTGCTGCAGCTGGCCTGAAAGTTGGGATCCTCCTGCCTTAGCCTCCTGGTCACTAGGATTACAGGAGTATGCCACTGTGCCCACCTAAGGTCAGGCTTTGCTTTATTTTTTAAGATCTGTTGAGCTACAACATACCCACCATACAGTCATCCTATTGAAAATGTTCCACTTAATGGTTTTAGTACAGATTCGCCTCAGTTCATGGTGGGGTTATGTCCCTGTGGCTCCATGGCAGGTGGAAAATGCCTTGATTACGCCAAGCCTGCCAAACACCCAAGCACTGTAGGTGCTGGCAGTGTCCCTGTGATCTCAGGGCCTACTGGGTGCTGCCACTGCCCAGTGTCGGGGAGAATGAGGTCGTGTGTTGCTAGCTCAGGAAAAGTACAGATTCCAAGTGCAGTTTCTACTTGTGCACCAACAGAAAGTCAAAACCTCCAAAGAACTACGGCACCTCGGGTTTCCCCAGGAAGACCACACACCTTCCCACAGGTGTCTGGGAAGCTGACTTATGATGGAGGTGGCTGGTGCCAGCCACTGAAGGGTGGTGTGTCCAGACTTACTTGACAAGTAGGACGCGGGCCTGCAGCTGCTGGATGGAGTGCGTGAACAGCTCCCTGCTGATGAAGTCAAAGCTGTACTCCGGCTGCGGGGACAAAGCCAGGGTGAATCCTTGTGGCAAGGAGCCCTGCAGTCCTGGGCAGTGGGTCCTGGTGAGGCCACCTCAGCACCTGCTCCAGACCAAGCCCAGCCCCACCATGGCACCTCTGCCAGGCCTCCCACTTTCCCACATCTGTTCTTGTCTCCTCCCTGGCTCGTGGCTGTCGGCCAGACTGTTGCCTGAGCCCTTTTCAGCTGTGTGGCCACTTGACTGAAGGCAGAGAAGTGACTCGGGGTGCTTCTGGACCTAGATCTTAGAACTGAGGTGTGGTCCTCACAGCCCCCTTCTTACTGCACAGGCTGCCCTGTACCTTGTCACCTGGACACCAGACAGAGCCCTGGACCTTCATGAGACCTCTCCACGAGAAAGGAACTTGCTTGGATCACAGTGCAGAGTGACTTCACCCCAGCCTCTGCTGGCTTCCACCACAGTCCTGACCATCCTGTCATGACCACTGAGAGTGTCTAGGCTGCGCTGTCCAGTGCTGTGACCACCAGTCCTAGGGCTATTGAGGTGCCCTGTCATGAAATGCTTCTGGGTTTGGGACTCAACTGGAAAAATAACAATCAACTTTGATGTCAATCATGTCTTGAAATGGTTAAATAAAAAATATTACAGTTGGGCTGGGGCAGGTAGCTCTGTGGAATAGAGCTTGCCTAGTATGTGCTAGCCCTCTGTTTGGTCCCCAGCACCACAATTAATTTGCCTTCTTTCTTTTTTTTTAGAGAGAGAATTTTTTAATATTTATTTTTTAGTTTTCGGTGAACACAACATCTTTATTTTTATGTGGTGCTGAGGATCGAACCCAGAGCCACGTGCATGCCAGGCAAGCGCGCTACCGCTTGAGCCACATCCCCAGCCCTGCTTTCTTTTTACTCTTAGGGCTTCTAGAAACTTTTATTACATGAGGCTCACCACTGGCCTGGCACTCTAGTCTGAGAACTCTCAGAGACAGGAACTCTCAAATTTTGTCCATGTTTGTACCTCTCAGCATGCTGGTGACAGAAGTACAGGTGCGTTGATCATTCAAGAAAGCTCCCTTGAGGACTGATTCCAGTAAGCCTTCCTTAAGGTTCTTCACCGCCGCAATGAATATAAAATCCCTCTGGGGACTGTGGGTGTCCCTCAGTGGTGGAGCCCTTGCCCACCATGCACAAGGCCCTGTGTTCCAGCCCCAGCACCCCATAAAAGGGGAAAAAAATCCTGAGGATACACACAAGCCATTTGGTCATGGCCACAAAAAACTCTGTCCTGAGGCTCTTCCAGCCATTTCCTGCTTTTCATGACTAAAATGACCTCTGGTGCTTTCCCCAAAGCAGGTTTCCACATCTTACACAAGGCCCACACTCTTGTGGACTTGAGTCCCAGCGGCTGTGACCAGGCACTGCGGGCTGCCTCCCGTGGAGGAACTCCCCGCGGTGCTGAGGCAAACATTAAAGCAAGCGCTTTCCAGAAGGCAGGCTAGATCCCAGAGGCCAGGAACTTGGTCACAGCCGACAGCTAACAGGAGATGGCGCCAGGACTCAAGCTCAGGCGGGGGCCGGGCCTCTCTAACACTCCGGTTCCTGCCAAGATTGGGGCTGTCTAGCTCCACAGCACAGTGAGGCCCTCGCTGAATTTAACTTGATCTCGCAGGAAGGGATGGAGGGACATTCTCTCCACTCCTGTCTCTGGAGGTGGGAGCAACACAGGCAGTTGTTTCTGCAGCAGTTTCCCAACCAGCAACAGAGGCCCTTTCTCCATGAAAGCATCTGCGGCCATGGGGCTGCTGGGTGTATTGTTTCCCTTTCTGTCTTTTCCCTCTTTCTTCCTCCACACCTCTTTTTAGATTTTGTTAGCTTCATTTCCTGATCAGTTTTTTAAAATAATTAAGGTATAACTTATAGCAAAGCCCAGGCTGGACAGTCAGCTCCTGATGGCTTTTCACTGTGTACATACACATGTAACCTTGACTCGGGCCAAGACAATGGGCCCTTGCCCTCCAGCTTGTTCCAGGGCTTTTCTTCAAGGAGAGCACTACTCTGGCCTCCAGCCCTGTGGGTTGATTTTTCAAGTAGAATCACCTTTTGTTGCTGGCTCCTTTCACTCTGCAACCATTTATGTAAACATAACAGAAAGCCCTAAAACAAGAATGAAACAACACAGGACGTGGAGTCTGTCCGTGACTGGGCCAACATCAGGCAGCCATCGTTTTGCTTGGGAACCTAGAAGATGGTGATGTGTCATTTGAGACAGAAAATAAAGGATGTCTAGGAGCATAGCACATGCCTGTAGTCCCAGCAACTCAGGAGACTGAGGCAGGAGGATTATAAGTTGCCAGCCTCAGTAACTTAGTGAGAACCTGTCTCAAAAAGGCTGGGGTATAGCTCAGTGGTACACTGCTCGCCTAGCATGAGCAAGGCTCTGGGTTCAATGCCCGGCACTGCAAGAAAAAAAAAAAAAAAAGCTGGGGGGGGCGGGTAGGTGAAGGAACCTACTGAGAAAAGTATACATTTAATTATGGACATGTCGCACTTCAGAATCTTCTGAAACATTCGGAAAACTATTTAGAAAAGTGGTCCAGATACATCAAAGATCTAAACTTAAGAGCTGAAACTATAGAACTCTTAGAAGGAAACATTGAGGACTGGGGATGTAGCTCGGTTGGTAGAGTACTTGCCTTGCAAGCACAAGGCCCTGTGTTCGATCTCCAGCACCCACACTCTCCCCCCAAAAAGAAGAAGAAAATGAGAAAATCCTTCATGATACTGTATTTGGCAATGCTGCTATGGACATGATATCAAAAGCACAGATGATAACAAAAATAAAGTGGACTACATCAAATGAAATGGGGCTGGGTATGTGGCTTGGTGGTAGAGCCCTTGCCTAGCATGTGTGAGGCCCTGGGTTCAATCCCAGTACACTCCCCCCAAAAAAAATTAGAGCCATGCACAGTTGTGTATGCCTCTAATACCAGCAGCTTAAGAGACTGGGGCAGGAAGATCAAAGCCAGCCTCAGCAACTTAGCAAGACTGAAGCAACTTAGTAAGACCCTGTCTCTAAATAAAATACACAAAAGGGATGGGGATGTGGTTAAGCACCCCTGGGTTCAATCCTGGGTACCAAAAATAAATAAATAACTGGGCTTGGTGGCACACACCTGAAATCCCATTGACTTGGGAGGCTAAGGCAGGAGGATTACAAGTTCGAGGTCAGCCTCAGCAACTTAGCAAGACCCTCTCTCAAACAAAAAGTACTGGGGATGTGGTTAAGAGCCCCTAGGTTCAATCACCAAAAACAAAAAAGACCCCCCCCCAAAAAAATAATTAGAACTTTTTTTAAAAATTTTTTTTAGTTGTCAATGGACCTTTGTTTTTTATTTATTGATATGCAGTGCTGAGAATTGAACCCAGTGCCTCACACAGGCAAGCACTCTACCTCTCAGTCCCAGCCCCAGCCCTAATTAGAACTTTTGTGCATCAAGAAAGTGGCTCAGTGGTGGAGCGCTTGCCTCACACGTGTGAGGCACTGGGCTCCATCCTTAACACCATGTAAAAATAAGTAAAAAGGTATTGTGTCCACCTACAATTAAAAATATTAGGAAAAAAAAGTGAAGAGGCCAGGTGTAGTGGCCTGTAATCCCAGTGGCTCAGGAGGCTGAGGCAGGAGGATTGTGAGTTCAAATCCAGCCTCAATGATTTAGCTAGGTCCTTTAGCAACTTAGTGAGACCCTGTCTCTAAAAAGAATATAAAAAAGCTTTGGGGACGAGGCTCAGCAGTTAAACACCTCTGGGTTCAATCCCTGGAACCGTCCCCCCCCCAAAAAAAAATAGGCTGTTGAGTAGGAGGAAATATTTGCAAGTCATATATCTCATAAGGAATTAAGATCCATAACTAAAACAACAACAACAAAACCCCACACAATCCAATTAAAAAATGGACCAAAGAAGACACATAAGTGGCCAGTAGCACACAGAGGGCTGGGCTGGGGCTCAGTGGCAGAGCATTTGCCTGGCAGGTGAGAGGCACTGGGTTCGATTCTCAGCACCTCATGTAAATAATAAAATAAAGGTTCATCAACAACTAATAAAAATATTGTTTTAAAAAAGGTTCAACAGAGAGTCACTGTGTGCCCCAGCAGTCCCACTCTGGTATAGCCAAGAGAACTGAGAGCAGGGACCCAAACAGACACTTATACCCCCATGTTCACAGCAGCATTATCGACAGTAGCCCAAGGGTGGAACCCCAGGTGTGGGTCAATAGATGAGTGATACAGAAAATGTGGAATACACAATGGAATACTATTCAGCCTTAAAAAGGAGATTTGGGGGCTGGGCCTGTAGCTCAGTGGTAGAGCACTTGCCTTGTAGGTGTGAGGCTCTGGGTTCGATCCTCAGTACCACATATAAATAAATAAACAAAGATATTGTGTCTATCTACAACTAAAAAAGAAGCCAGACACAGGACAAACGTGGCACAATCCCACTTAGAGGTGCCTAATAGGCAAACCCAGGAGACGGAAACAAAATTAGAGGTTACCACTTCCACTCAGCTGCTTCCTTACAGGTGGTTAAAAGGACAAATACTGTGTATGTCTATATTAGGTGCATAATTGAAAAACAACTTAAAACCAACACCGGGCAGCAGGCAAGCCAGGAAGGAGCTGGAGGACGGCAGCACTCACCCAGGTGATCCTCCGGTCTCTGTTCAGCACCAGACCTGGAGAGGCACAAGGCAGGGTCCTCAGTGGTCTGAGTTGGAGGGGCTCACCGCCGCTCCCCTGGGGCCTCCTCAGCTAGGACATTTCTACCCCCTGGGCTGATGAGGCCACAGCTGTGGTCCTGGGCCAGCCCTGGACTCCGGTCTTGGGATCTGTTGGAGCAGAGCCTGACCACAGCCCTTGGACCTCAGACCCGCGGAGCCCACGGGAGTCTGGCCACCCCACAGGGCGGTGCTGATGGGGGGGAACAGCGAGTCTGAGCACATCAGAAAACTCCCCTGGGAAACGGAGAACGTCATTCAGAAGCAGTGGACAGCTAAGAATCATGTCACTCCCTGCTGAAGGGAAAGTGAAACAGACACATTAGAGGCACTGAGGCCCGCAGGCCACCGACTTCAGGAGGTGACTCGGCTTTCTGCCCCACCTAGGAAGGATGAACGGTGGCAGCGCCGGGCCTGGACAGTGCCACCCGGAGAACACCCACGTGGGGACTCGGGGTTCGGAGCATCCCCTGCTGCACAGTGGGTAAGCGCCACTTTGGAAGCTGCCCAGGGCTGGCCGGGGGGAGAAGGGGACCTTCTTAGCAGGGGAGAGGGGTACGTGAGCTGCGGGCATCCACATGGGTGAGAAAATAAGGCCACCCTTCCCTCTCCACAAGTTTTAGTCAAATGCCACCTACCAGCAGCCCTCCTGTTCAAAGTTGCACACGCCTCGCCCGGGCCTCCCTAGGCCCCTCTGATTGATTTTCTCCATTGCTACACAACTGGGCTCCACCCTCGGCCACCATGGCACTGTCTAAAATGCACTATCACTGATGAAGTCACTTCTTTCCCCTGCTAGACCACAGCTTCCATGAGCACACAGTCTGGCCCACACGACACGGAGCTGGTCAGGAGCGCTTGTGGAAGGAATACGCAGGCGGGAGAGGCTGGGAGGGCTCAAAGGAATGGATGCTATTCTATTGTTGTTTGTTGGATGATGAGTAGACGTTATTACTATTAACATCATTACTTGTTAATATTTCAATGTATATATAAATAACATACCAACAAAGTTTTTTTTTTTTTTAATTTAACTACCTGATTCAAACATTCACTTGGGAAAATAACAGGAAAGAATAGAATGGAATTTGGGTGCAGTGGTGCACACTTATAATCCAGCTATTCAGAAGGCGGATGCAGGAGAATCAGAAGTTCGAGGCCAGTCTCAGCAACTTACTGAGAGCCTGTCTCAAAATTTATAAAGGGCTGAGGGCATATGAAAAACATTGGATTTGGCCCCAGTATGGAAAAATAAAAAGAAAAAGATAAAAAAAAAAGAAAGAAAAAAAGAATAAAGGTGTTAGGCAACCGAGGAGCTATCTGGAAAAAGATAAAGTCAGATCCAAACCTCATTCTCTACACTAGATAAGTACACAGTATTAAATATTTAAATGCAAATACTAAACACAAAACAGTATTAGACTCAAACATGAGCTTTTAACTACAACTCAAAAATCAGAGGCCATAAAAAAGTCATAGATTCAATTGTAATAAAAAATATTCTTCATTGCAAGAAGGAAAAAAAAAAAAACTACCTCAAGTAAAGTCAAAAGATAAAATGAAAACCCAGGGGAAGGTATTTGCAATCCAGTCTCCCCACAGATGAAAATGTCTTCAAACTGAGATACGGGTGTCGAGCAGGGCAAGGGGCAAAAGCAGGGAACGTAGATCCTACCCAAAAAGGAGGACAGAACTACAACTACGGGAAGATACCAGTTCTTACGAAATGGACAAAATTCGAAACAAGTGACATCCAGGGACACAGGCCTCTCAGTCAGCAGAGTTGGCTGAGAGGACACCAAGGCACAGCTATGAGGACACTGGCAATGTCTTGGAGGCCCCTGTGCTCACCTTGGCCAGGGAAGAGGTGCCTCAGTTTGGGTTCTGGTCTGCGTGCCTGCCTTTGTCCATGGCTGTGCAGACATCCACACGGCCAGGGGACAGCACAGACCACTCACAGCCAGTGTCCCTCCCCAGGTGACTGGCTAAGTTAGCCTGACACCATTAGGGAACATGGGGACCAGCCTCCAGTTTCCTACCAGGGAGGCCTCCAAGGAGACTCTCCGGTGCCAACCAGCCACGCAGGTGGAGGGGAGTCCTGTGCTCCACCAAGGACAGCCTGGAAGGATGTCGCTGTGGCTTGAGCACGTCCTAAATCTCATGTCTTGGAAGTCTCGTCCCCAGTCTCACCTGTCAGTGGTATCTGGAGGGGACCTTTGGGAGGTGACTGAGTTATGAGGCCCCTACCCTCATGAAAGGATTAATTGGAGCGCTCTCCAATGCTCGTGCATGTGATGCCCTCTGCAGCAAGAAGGCCCATGCTAGATGCCGGGCAGATGCCTGCACTGTGCTCTTGGATTTCCCGGCTCCAGAATCTGGAGAGTGGAAGAAGTCTGTCCGTTTGCACCTTCTTTTCTCCTCATCTCCTTCTGACTGAACCGTACCTGGCAATCACTACCGAGCTAGGCCCTAGCCCCTACATTTCTATTATTTATCAATTACCTGGCCTCAGGTATTTTGTTAGAGCAACAGAAAGCAGACCAAGATGAATGTGAAAAAGCTCAGAAGGGGGATTAACTTGCAGGTGAGATGAGGAAAAAGATGGATGGGAACAACGAGACTGTGAGATTTTCTATTCCTGTGACTTAGTATGTGCTAAAAAAAAAAAAAAAGTTAATATTAAATTGAAAAATGAAACTAAAATCATGTCTAGGTGGACACGTCTGCTCAGCCCCTTTGGAAAAGCCATGACCCCCAGGGATGTTCAAGAAGTAGGGCGGGGATAGGCCTCCTTGCTGGAAAGCCAACATTTGAACATGGACATGGCTCTCTGAGGAAGAAACAATCACGGAAACATGAAGGAGAGATATTTTCCGTAATTATTATGTTTTTCCACTCTAATTAGAGATTATGGAACTCTCAGATGATAAATTTAGATGATAAATGTAATGTTTAATTGTTGATAGAGGTTCTAACCAGGGCTTTGTGTCTCCGCATGCTTAGAAGGACCCTGTGCCTGGGAGGTTCTGGTTGCAGCACCCACAGATCACCCAGCCTCTTGAATCCCAGGCAGAGGCCCCTGGCTCTCTGGGTTTTCCCCATGATGCCCTCACTGCCTGGCAGGACCAGAGCCCACCAAGATCCATCTTCCTCCTGCCTAGGCTCCAGCAGCTCGAAGGATAGGAAAATACATCAAAAAGGGGGTTATCTCAGAGGGTAGCACCGTCTCCTATGGCCTGAGGTCTGACGCCACGTCCTCCAGCCTTTCCAAGGATCCATTCTGCCCATCACTGAGCAGCCCCAGGCAGGACCCAGCTGCTTGGGCCAACAGTGTGCGTGTGGGTGGTGGTTACTTCCTGTCAGCCTGCCCGCCAGCTGGGAGCTCTGTGAGGGCGGGAGCTGGGCTGCTTCTCTATTTCTGCCCACCCTCTCACCCGCTGCATGAGGCAGCACGGCCGGCTCAGGGTGGGGGCTCAGGCTGGTATGTCAGATGTGCTGAATGTGCGAATGGATGGATGCCCTCAAAGGCTGCAGAGCCCCTCTGGCCCTGGTGTCCACATACGTAAATCAAGGGGCCCTGATTCCTGAGGACCCATGCTGGTCAACTCCAGCCCTCCAGGGGCTGGTCCACTTCCCTGTCTTCTGCCTCCTTCCTTTCATAGTTGCAGATCAAGATTTGGGTCTCACCCTGCGTCTAATAGAAAAAGTAGGCCCCAATCTCCATCATGTCAGATTAGGCTCCTACTTCCTTAACAAGACTCCTGTAGTGCCAGAATTAAAGTCAAGAATTAAGGGCTGGGATTGTGGCTCAGCGGTAGAGCGCACCCCTAGCATGGGTGGGACCCAGGTTCGATCCTCAGCACCACATAAAAATAAAATGCATTGTGTTGTGTCCATCTACACCTAAAAATAAATATTAAAAAAATCAAGAATTAAATGGGATGGATTCAAACTAAAAAGCTTCTCAGCAAAAGAAACAATCAGTGAAGTGAACAGAGAGCCTACAGCTTGGGAACAAATTTTTACCACTTGCACATCAAATAGAGCAGTAATTCTAGGGTATATAAAGAACTCAAAAAGCTAAACACCAAAAAGACAAATAAGCCAATTAATAAACGGGCAAAGGAACTAAAAAGACACTTCTCAGAATATGATATACAATTAATCAACAAATATATGAAAAAATGTTCATCATGTCTAGCAATTAGAGAAATGCAAATCAAAATTACTCTAAGATTTCACCTCACTGTAGTCAGAATGGCAGCTGTTAAGAGTACAAACAACAATAAGGGTTGGTGAGGATGTGGGGGAAAAGGCACACTCATACATTGCTGGTGGAACTGCAAATTGGTGCAGCCAATATGGAAAGCAGTATGGAGATTCCTTGGAAAACTGGGAATGGAACCACCATTTGACCCAGCTATCTCACTCCTCGGTTTACACCCAAAGGACTTAAAAACAGCATACTGCAGGGACACAGCCACATCCATGTTTACAGTAGCACAATTTACAAAAATTATAAACTGTGGGACTAACCTAGATGCCCTTCAGTAGATGAATAGATAAAGAAAATGTGGTATATATACAAAATGGAATATTACACAGGATTAAAGGAGAATAAAATTATGGCATTTGCAGCTAAATGGATGAAGTTGGAGAAGATAATGCTAAGTGAAGTTAGCCAATCCCCAAAACCCAAAGGCCTCTGCTGGGACCTCCCAAGGTCACTGACACAGATGCCAGCAGAAGCCTGGCAGAGTGGGCACAGTGCCTGTTCACAGGGAGAGGGGCTTCTGTGGGGCTACTCCTTGTCTGCAGGGAACAGAATGTGTTGCCAACTTTTCAAAAGAAACCAGAAGAATTTCTATTTCTACATAAAATCTTACTATTGGTGACCTATCCCCCCCTCCAATGTTTTTGTTTAAACTGCAGAAGTCAAACAGATGGTGCTCACGACCTGAATGCAGCCCGGACGTGTATGTAAAGCACTAAGTATCATGCCTGGTCCATGCAAGTCCTTGATGCCATGCCAGTGACAGTCCACAAAGCTTGGAGAGGGAGACCTTTACCTGTGGCCTCCGGGGTGGTTCCTCTCTGCAGGAGGAGTTTCCCGCACTCCTCACCCACATGGCTGTTGTTCTTCAGGAACCTGGGGGGGGACAGAGGGATGCTGAAGGCCCCGGCCCAGGGGCCAGATGGAGGGGAGCAGGGCGGTGAAAGGGAGGCACCCAGGAAGGACGCGCCTGGTTGCCGCGGGCCGTGCCAGCATGTCGCTAAGTGTCCTATGAATATGAGTGTGTGTGTTTCCACTCTAGATGGCAAGTACTGGGAGCCCTGACCCCTGGGCACACTGCTAGGAGCAGGAGAGACAAATGTTACCAAATGGCCACGGTCCCCATCCATGGTTGTGGGGCTCCTGGCCAAGGAGGAGACAGGGAGTCAGCAGGACAGGGCAGTCACCTCCAGGGAAGGAAGGGTAGTCATGGCCAGCTTCCAGAGGGAAGCATCCCACTGAGGCTGAAGCAGGAGTGGGGAGGCCAGCGAGGTGCAGGGGAGGATCACAGGTCAGGCTGGGGGAGCTGCAGTCTTAGAGGCCAGGAGGGAAGAGAATGTGTGGAAGGGTGATGGGGGGGTAGGGAGGGGGAGGGAGCTGTGAGCCCTGACCCCTGGGCACACTGCTAGGAGCAGGAGAGACAAATGTTACCAAATGGCCACGGTCCCCATCCATGGTTGTGGGGCTCCTGGCCAATGAGGAGACAGGGAGTCAGCAGGACAGGGCAGTCACCTCCAGGGAAGG